GGCGGTAATAACCGTCCATGTCACATTTACTCTTCATTTTGTTTTCTATGTGAAAATACTCTGCGTTCGTTTTTTTTGAGAAACTCCAATTTGATTGAAAGTTGTTGCGAGGCACAGCTGAATCCGTAATGCATGCAAGCAGAAGAATAATTCTGAAGCGATGGCGTTGTGTCGAATTGTTGTAGGTCTTGTTTTTCTGTTCTACCCTTGTATCAGTGTGGCGAACAATGAAGAAACCTCCTTTGGGTCGGCAATCTATGAAGGCTCGTTTTCTGATAATGAGCCGTTTTCTCTTCTCGAAGAATTGATCGAGGTTGACACTCAGAACGAACCGTTCAGTGAAAATGAAGGTAAAGTTAATCCACTCCTTGACTCACGTTTCACTTCCGATTAACAGGCGATCCTTCACTACTGGAAGAAAGGGAAGAGGAGGCCCCAGAAGAGAATGAGTCAGACGCGTATCCTCATTCATTCCTCGAAGACGCACCGACTCAACCCCCTATTGTCGAGTTGAGTGACCAGGAGAAGCTGGCGATTAAAAAGTTGCGGGACGCTTTGGGCCTTGTAAGCCGATACAATGTCTTCGAATCAGTTGTTTCTCCATAGGCCGAACAAGAAGGTTTCGAGAAGGGATTTGCCGATGGAAAAGCTGCCGCGTTGAAGGAGGTCAAAGATGCTGCTGGCCCAAAATCAAACTCAACAGCGATTGGCCTCAACGGAGGTTTCGGATTCATTGTTCTGGGAGTAACGGCCGTAATGAATACGGCTTTCAACTGAAGCAGCTAATTCCTGTTCCCTCCAATGGATCAGTGTCATAATTCTTGCAATAACGATTTACCCAATGTTTTGTGCTTTTCAACTCTTGGATTTTTTGCACCAATTCCACAAAAAGGTTCCAGCATCCGATTTGAAAAATAATTTCTTCATGGTTGGCTTAGATTTTTATTCGTTAAGAATATGCCATCTATCTTAGTTGTGCTTCTTTTGCTGTTTCAAACATGGCCGTCAAAATGCCAAAGCACAGTAAAGGGTGGAATCATAGCGTCCCAGCTCAAACTGACAGCCATAAAAAATCAAACGTCGAGCCTCATATTCGGAAGTGCAGCCAACGAGGTAAAATTATCCTCGAGTCCAGACCGAGGCTTCGTTATTGAAACAGCGACAGCCCCGCTGATGTATTTTAAGCCTGACAACACGATAGAAGTGGGAGGGCAAGAAATGACAGTCAAGAGGTGATGGAAACTGCGCAACGAATATCAACTCATTTTCCTTATTCTGTAGCTCCCTCAACATCGATGGCACATTTCGAGTAGCAAACGTTTCTCAGTGGCGTCTTATTCATATTGAAGACTTTACAACAAAGCAGGCGATCGGATGGGACAACACAAACGTGGAACTTGTGACCGAATGTGCTGGGATTTTTATGCTTGGTGGATATGGTAAATTCGCAAAAGTACGGCCGGATAGTTTTCAAGCAATTCATGACGTGTAACGTCACAGGGTGAAGTAACAAAGAGAATTTCAGAGCTCCCTACTCATGACCAAATTCGGATACGAGCAAACTATCATTTTATTGATGCGTGGATTGGACAAACGGGCTTCATGCGTTTGAACATTGGGAAAGACGGCAAGCCACTGATTGAATTCGGAATGGGAATGTTGCATTGATATTTTAGGGAGCATGGTCCATGTATGGACAGATAGACACAATCAAGACACGGAGGAGTTCGCCGTAGACGTTTGCGGTTCGCCGTTTTTATCCACAACGATATTGTATTGGTAATTTTAGGAGGAGGAACTGGAGAAGGGAAATTTGCGGTCCCCATCGATATGATTTTCCCCCATGCGAGCGACAGCATTGTCATTGGATTTGGGTCAACCATTGAAAACGGTGTGGTTCTCAAGAGTCGTACAGACAGCACATTGCCTCCATTGCTGCAGACGATCCAACGGATCAATCTTGGGGGGTTTCAGCGATAGAAGTTTTAGTCAGATGACAACAGTTGGAATCGCAGAGTAACAGATTGCTACCGAGAAACCCATAGTGACAAACTCACAATGAGCACTTCAAAAAAACGAAACACAGAGTTCTTGGTTCAGAATACAAGGAGGCACTTCGAACTAATTCTCCACTTATTAGGTGGCGGCGCAGCGTGCAGGGTGAAACTGGAAATTCTTTCAAATTTAATGATAGCTGTCGCATAGAGATGGCGAGTAGGTTAAATGGTTCAATTGTCCGTCTTCCAAAATGTCTCTTTTAGGCAGGCAAGATACGAGAATAATACCGCAATCGATATTGGGTAATTCGGCAGCCGCAGTGGCTGCTCTGGCACGCGCAGTTTGTTACGTTGTTGCCGAAGCGTGGGGAGCTTTGGATCGCTGCGTCTCCGCTTCCTCCCGTCCAGTGTAAGGAAATTGAGTTCACTGAGTGGATGTGGCTATCTCTTCAGATGGGAAGGCCACCCTGATTACCAACCGTATTCCGCTCAGAGTTATGAAATAGGAGATTTTGAGTATGAAGTTATGGTATGCTCTGAACTGTTCATCTTTTTTTTTAACATTTCCCCTTCTCAGGTCTTCAGAAAACCGCGAGGTTGTTGTGCGCAACTTCTGAGACCATAGGTAGATTTTGATACTCTGGTGCTTCATGGTGCACAACTGTGCGAGATAGTCCATAATAGTGTTTGAGTTACTTTGAGAGTACACCTAAAATTATGTGGAGCTAGTGTCCTTCGGCTGCTTTTGTCTCCTCTCCAGCGGTCTATAGTAGCGCCACCAGTAACTGAATTTTTCGACGGGTTTACCTTTACTATATTCTCGGCACCAGCTGCAATGCTTTCTGATTCTTTCTTATCAATAATCGCTTCAACTGCCTCCACAGCTCCCTCTAAAGACACAGAGTAAACATAATCATTCATGTCCGCGCCTCGTACGGGGAGAATCTTCTTGACCCTTGGCATCTGATTTCAACTCTTCAGAGTTTTTTGCTTTCGTTTTTGCCATTTCCATTGCTGTATCGGCAGCAACAACATCCTAAAACATAGACAATGAAGTCACTGAGTGAGTGAAAGGCTCGTCGTACTTCAACTGCTGCCTGAGCAGCAACCGCCTCTTGCAACTTTTCCTTTCGATCGGAGGGGATACTTGGTGAGCCGATCGAATCCTTCTCTTTGGCTATAGCCTCTTTCGCTGCACAAAGCAACGCCGATGACGTGTCCAAACCATTCGGAGACTTACCATCCTTCAAACCATTTTTGAGCTGTTCGGCCTGGACACCGATTTGAGCCGCCAACCCCTTTAACGTTGCTTCCTCTGCTTCCTTTGGGTCAGTATCGACTGCCAAGAAACGCGCTTGTGGATAGAGCTGTTTTAGCTCATTTTTCGGATTATGGTAGGCCGAGCTGTATTCCGAGCTCTGCAAGCACCAAAGGCAACAACATGCAACACTGCCCACACTTGATGAAACGACGAACCAGATGTAGCAAAATAATAACAAAGCCGATCCGGATCATTTCTAAGAGCAAAACGTCAAACAAAGCGATCTGTCAAATGCAACAAAAAAAAATTGTTAGCAAAAAAAATGCAATTTCTCCTGCCAAAATTGAAGCAGCGCCATGGACTGTTGAGGGGAGTAGTGCCATAATGTCCACGTTTGCGTTACGAAGAAAACTTTTATATGCAAAACGAGTCCTCTGCTATCGATACTCATTTTTTCACGAAAAGTGAACAATCCAAGTACTAAGAAATTTTTCTAAGCGATCTATACTTGTCGGTGGCTCGCCTGGGCAGAAACAGCTGGGGTCTCAATACCCAAACAACTACCAACCTGAAGTGCATAGATATTTCCCTCCATCAACAATCTCCTCCAAGGTCGTCACTGGCCGAAGCTGGTGGTCGTATAACTTTCTCACTGGACCCGCTAAAGGTTGCACCACCTGTTGCCAAGTAAGATGCGTCGTGCCGAGGCATGTAGTCAGTGAGACAAGCTACCTTTGTGCATCCTTGGTAGATATGCTCCAGTGCTTTCATATAATGTTTAATGAAGAACGGCGTACCATCATGATGCTTGTCTCCATTTCTGCAAAAGAAGATAGCATGTTGTTTGAATGCTTAAGCTCATTCACCGATAAATCCAAATTAGCTTAGGAGTGATGTTTTGCACGCCATAACGTTGAATTCCCAGAGTTCCGGGTTCAATAACAGGAATACGTGCTGCGACAGACTAAATGTTGGAGCAGTTGGGTGTACGAACCTACGGTTTCTGATTACAGAGGAGTAAACCTCGTGACATCGACTGGCACTCTCCGTCATGCCGTCGTTAATAAAAACATATTCACGGCCAGCAAGACCGCGCCCATTGCCAAACTCGTCGAAGCGCTCACGGTGCGTTCCCTAAAATCACGGAGGTTTTATGAAAATGGCATCCGAACGGGTGACTTGCCGTGTAATATTGATGATCTGTAAGCCTCTCGAATACGTTTCGTCGGGTTGGACAGGTTCTCGATTGATATTGAAACTCCAGTCCAGAAATGGGATAAAAGTGTGAATCCAGCGGACTTGCTGCCAAACACCCGTTGCTGATTCCATGTTTACACCCATATGGACGGTCGAACATCATCTTTGTATGCCACTCCCAAATCGGAAGCTTTTAACAAACCGGTTCGCTGAAATATTTGCTATTCATGTGGCTAATAGCTCTTCTTTGCATCACCTATGAAGTTTGTGGTTTCACGTTGCATTTTTTTCTGATGGTGTGCGCAGAGGACATTTTTTTTTTCCGAATAAATCAAAGAAATGAGCTTCTAGGAACCTCATCTCTGAATTCGAGATTATTGGCTTCTGTTTCTTAAAATGAAACGACTTTCAGTTGACTCGAACTGCAGCACAGCGGCTTCGTGCGGCAACGAAGTTTCCGCTGGGCATCCGCAATGGTAAAGAATTGAATTATTATATGTTATAAAATCAAGATTACTAGGTGTGTGTTGATTCGGGCTCCAATTATGCCGATGTTCGGGACTATCAAACCAGAAGATCAACAACGATACGTTGTATTCAGTCCGTTCAAGCCGCCGTGGAGAGAACAAGACATCTGTAACGAACATGCTGATTCTGATTTAGGGGTCTATAGGGGCCGTTTTGGTCAGACCGAACCAAAGAGTGCAGGACGCGAACCTTAGGTGCCCGAATTCGGCGAAGCAGCTACGCATGCACCGCACCTATCGAGGATTCAGACAACAAGACCCCTGCAACGGCACCATACAATGGAGAGCGTCCCGAAGCCGCACCTCTAGTCTTATGGGAGGGTTGCACGAGCAACGGAACAGCTCATAAAATTATTGTAGACCCGATGCTGACAGAGTATGGCCAACAAATCAGCTGGTATCCTCACTCCCGTCCAGATATCTACGGCAGCATCAGCGGGATGGTGTTCAATTTGTCTTCGATTGCCTCACGGGAATAAAGAAACTGAATCTTCCTCCATCCTTTGGCAACTCCCAAGAGGTGACGGGATGTCTCCTCGCGGATGATATGGGTGAGCTACAAACGCAACCGAAAGGATGGAAAATGGGTTTGTTTAGGATTGGGCAAGACACTCCAAAGTATAACGGTACTATGGACTCTCTTAAACCAAGGATTCCAGAAAAGGGCCAGTGAGGATAAGCCCGCTCAGCAAGGAATTGTACTGTTTCACTTCAGCGGTGCGGAAGGCTATTGTGGTTTGTCCAGCGTCTTTGGTAAAAAATTGGTAAATATTTTCCGGTCAATTCTATAACAACCATCACCATGCTTCAGGGCATCTGAGCTAGAAAAGTGGTTAAAAGTCAGATATATGCTTGATGCGTGGCAAGGATAACATCAGATGCTCATCATAGGGACGCTGCAAAAGCACTCCTGTGGCTGAATCTTCACGGGACGCTGTGATATCGTTATACGAAAGCTTTAAATGGAATCAAACGGTAGAACCATCAAATGCGCAAATGATTCCATCTGAAATGTTTCAGTCGAAGGTTCTTATCACCTCTTATGAGTGCCTTCGCTTGCATGTTGGAAGGCTCAAGGATTGTCCAATTGATCTCGTGATTTGCGATGAAGCACACAGTTGAGTAGAGAAAGAGGAAAACGGGTCTAGTTTCGTACTCAGGATTAAAGAACGATAAGGCAAAAATCGCTGCAGCTATTGGAGAGATTTCAACAAAGCGCCGACTCCTTCTGTCTGGAACACCAATCCAAGTTTGTGAGACTTGTTCAAATTTTTGCGGATTAGGATGATTTTTAGAACGACTTGGAAGAATTCTACTCTCTTGCCTCACTTTGTATCCCATCAGCATTAACAGATCCGACAAAATTCAGAAAATATTTTTCGGTAAGAACTCTAATAGCCGAGTTGTGTCAATTGGTTGTGCGATAGAACCCTATCATGATTGGACGGGAACCTAGCGCAACACCCAGCGAACAGAAAAAGGCCGAGGAGCGATTGAATGAAATGCAGAAGATTTGCAACGAGTTTATCTTAAGAAGAACAAATGAATTATTGGCGAAGGTATTGCCGCCGAAAATTGTATTTGTAAGGAAGGAAGGAGAAGCTGTCATTGCGCTCGTATCTTAGGCCGTTTTTTGCAAGTTGACCGAAGTTCAAGAAAAACAGTATCATGAGATTCTTTCGTCAACAGCTTGTGTGAAAGTGATGAATGCATCGAATGGAAAGCAGGCATTGTCTCATATTCAAGTAAAGCTCTTCTTTCAAACACATTGAACATTGAAAATTCTGCCTTCCTGCAGAAACTGATGAAACTTTGCAACCATCCATCTCTCATCGCCACATCATCAACAAACTCTTGTTCATCTTCGCCATCAAGAAGGGGGAGTCGGAGAATAGCTAACCGGAAGCTGTCAGTCAATTTCTCAGAGTCGGGAAAGATGTTGTTTCTCATGAAGTGAGGCACCCACCCCTAGATTGCACAAAAAAAACTCTTTTTTTCAGTCTTGTCCTTGCAGCAAAAGCAAGCAGTACAGACCGTTTCGTCATTATTTCGAACTTTACTCAAACTCTTGATTTGATCGAAGACATGCTACGTCGCCTTGGGTTGGCTTTCTTTCGTTTAGATGGAGCTACAAGTATTAAAAAGCGTCATGCCCTTGTAACGGTGAGAACTGATCCATTGAAGTTTTTCATCCTTGTGGAATTTTAGCAATTCAACGTCCCTAACAGTAACACATTTGCGTTTCTCCTTTCGAGTAAAGCTGGCGGGTGTGGCATAAATCTCATTGGTGCAAATCGGCTGGTGATGTTTGACCCTGATTGGAACCCAGCGAACGACAAGCAAGCATTGGCGAGAATATGGCGAGATGGACAAAAAAAACACTGTTATGTCTACCGACTATTTTCGACGGGAACCATTGAGGAGAAAATTTTTCAGGTTCGTCTTCCAGCAAGGGAATGGCGCCCCAATATGAATATATCTAGCGGCAACTGTCGAAGGATTCGTTGAGCTCCATGGTTGTGACTGATGGAGAGACAAGCGGACTGAAGGATTGGTGAGTAGTGGAACAAAACGTTCGATAAGAGGGGTTGTTGTGGTCAGTATGGAGAAGGAAGACTTGAGAGAACTCTTCCAGCTAAACGTAAATACTTTGTGTGAGACCCATGATCTCCTACGATGCAAAAAAGTTGAATGTGGGGGAACGGAAAAAAGTTGCAAAGAAATGAACGAAGGAGGTAAAACTTCTTTTGGCAAGAATTTGACTCGAATGAATTTGAAACAGACCTTCTTTCATGGGCACACCATGCAAAAGGTGAAAATGTAACGGAGCCCATCAGTATGCAAGCAATCCACTCAGCCGATTCGAATGCGGAGCAGGTGGTGTCTTTCGTAATGTCAATATGGATTGAATATAAAGAAGAAACAAAGAAGGAATCGAATGTGAAAGAGAGGGATGTTGAAGAAAAGGCAATCGAAGATAGCGATGTTGAAGAAATGGGAATCGAAGATAACGATGTTGAAATGGAAGATGCTTCGCAAGTGTGAAGACAAGTTACACCTTAGTGACAACACAGCATAGCGACCAAAATTGGATCATAGTTTTTCTAAGACAGAGCAGGCAGAAATTTGCAGACATGGAATATAAGCACAAGGGATAGAGACTGTGGTAAAGAAGTTGAAATTCTCGAGGGGCGATAAAAATAGAGAACATTAAACTCAAAAGCTTTCCATCATCTCTGAGTATTCTACACAAGAAAAATCGTGCACTAGGCTCTTTTCGATATGGACTCACTGCTAGAGCAGAATGCTTGGCAGGAAGAGATTTCCATGGCTTTTTCCGCTGCGTCGAAAGTGCTGCAACCTCCCAATAAAAACTGTAACCGGAACAAGTTGAGCTGACCTTAAACTCTGTGTGCTGTTTCCCCGAACATTGGTGTGTTTCATACGATAGGCGTCGTGAATTATATCGAATGCGGGGAAAGTCTGACAGCAGGCTTTGCACGTATCGCGATGGCATTGACTTGAGTTTTCCTCGTTCAAACCATTGGGGTTCATCCAGCGGTGGCAGCTGTCGGTCCGGTGAGTCAGAGAAGGTTCCCCCACGCATTGAACCAAACTGTTGATCCATGCTTGGCGCGTCTTATTGCTGAAATGGTCATGAGCACTACAATGATCCACACAAAGAGCGCGGTCTTGCTTTGGACGAAACGAGGTATGAAAATCGCAGCCTGGACCAAGCAAGGTTCATTGGAATCAAAACCAAAGAATCTTACAAGTAGCACAAAAGCTTGCAGAGCATTTTCCCGCCAAAGTAGCATTATCACCGAACAGCTTTTTGCAGAGAGACTGTCTCTCCAAGAACGTTGTTGCTTCTTCACAAGCCCCCCATGGTATCGTGCTCGTGGACTTCTCCATAGCAAAGACAGCTCTGTAAGCTTCTTTAAAAGATGGCGTTTGGGGTCCCGTCGCTTTCATTAACTCAATTGGTCCCATTTTCAAGGAATCAAATAACGTCATCGCGCAGTTTGACGTTGCCACCCCAACACGGTATTCCCCAGGTTTCGAAAAGTGAGCACTCGGGACATCAAATACCGTTGTCTGATAGACGACTTCTTTAGCACCACCTTCTGCGCCGGAAGGCATCAGTGAAACTGTTAAGCAGCGAGTATGAGCTTCATCCCTCATCGACTACCTCGCACCTTTTGCTAATGGGCCATTGAAGAAGACTGTTGCGGTATTCCACTCAGAAATGTTGAAACCCCCGATAGATGGAGAGACAGTTGGAACCTTATAAAAACAATGATGAGCCAAGTGACACAAAGGGTTGCGCTACTCACCGAGTAGAACTTGGTTCCGACCTTTTTCCTCAGTCTAATGTCCTTAGGTGTTATTTCGAGAAGGTAGTAATCGTCATTGTTGCGATATCTGCCGATGTGCAAGATCGCTACAATCGCTCATCCCAACCCTCACCTGAAAACAACCCCTACAGACCCAGCTTTGCATTGGGAGTAGAAATCGACCGAAATTTGGCCGTGGGAGCAACTTTTCGATCCCTTTGTAACAGCCATTGTCCCAGCTTCTACTTCGCCAGAAATAGGAGACTCTTGTAGCATTGATCTGGAACGCCCCGCTTTGGAAGGGACAGGCTGAGTTGTGGTGGGATATAACGCATATCACTACCTTCATCCTTAACGTAGGACCACTTAGATGGTCCATTTTTCGCATCAGATGCATCGACAACAGTATAAAATGCACCAAATCTCGAGAAGTAGGAGTCCCTATCATGGGGCTCTCAATGTTTAGCGATGTCTCCATCTCTCTTACGTCATCGTGTTGCATTCAGGTGGAGGAGGCGGATGTGTTAATGAGCACCCCTGCGGCGTACAGTCTTTGGGCTCCACTGAAATTTCGTCCCAATCCACCGAAAACATCGAAGACGTCTCGGATGAAAACAAACCAACCGCTCCGGACATCTAGTGGTTGACAGAATCAACAATGCAATCTGGATACGCGGAGTCTTACAAATGTTTCATCTTGCACATCGAACACTTGTTCTAATTGAGTTCCTTCTTCCCCTGTAAACAATATTTTGAAAAGATCCTCATTGTCTATTCACACTTACCAATACAGATTCGTATTCTTCCGTGTGCTGTATCGACGTGAATCTCATACCAAACATCAGGAACATAGCCGCCATCATGGCGTTCACACAGTATTGTAACTTGTCCCTTGTACACCCGAAGAAGCCTCTTGCTCCCACCATTGGATCGGTCCATTTCAACCAAGTACATATTTTGGAAGTCGCGCATCCTGAATGCCACTCCTGAGAACAACCCTTATCCAATGCCGCATTATTCAATCTGAGGTCACCTCCGACCACGCCATCAGCCAAGCGAATCTTTGACTTGAAAACAAAGTCAAAGAAGCGGCGATTCTTCGACATTGCAAAGACCCCATTCCCATAGGCCTTCGTTTCTCTTGAGATTGAAGCAAATTGGCTGATCACCTGAGGATGGAAATTCTCCCCTGTTCGGTATCTGAAGAGGATGAGTGATCGCGACAACACGACTGATATATTGCTAACTTCACGTTTGCTTCCCCTGCCACCCCAAATGAAGAACCAATTTCCCAAGTTGTATCTTTGGGGTCCCGCTCGTAGTTGAATACCCAACTTGCAAAGCCTCTCTGCTGAGTTCTCTTAACTGACAATATTTGTAAACGGTTGGTCAATTCATCGAGTTGTGTATAGGATGATCCCTGAAGGACAGGCACCTCTCCAGCGGAGACAACTTTGGTCTTTCTCACAGTCGCTTGGTAGAGTGTCTCAGAAACATCTTCAGTGAGACCGAACACCTGAATAGCTCGTCTCCCTTGGTCACTTTGCATCTTTTCCGCAGGCTTCAGCACTCCTGCGCAACGCAGGTGAACCGGATCTTGAAGAGCTTACACACCTCGCGCATCGCCAATAGTTTGACTGGACTGTTCTTCGGTCATAACGACGAGATGGGGATCAACACCATGTGCCTCATCTGCCGAAGTCAAATTGCGGTACAGTCAAGCATGGCAACCTGACCAATCATTTCATATGTGTTCGATAGAACTTCATTCACTTCGGCGGGCACCCCCTACGGATCGGAAATGCTGCGCATTAAATAAGCGTTTTCTACCGGCTCTGTCAGTTTTATTGGAGCTTCAGAAATTTGCAAGAAGGAGGTCTTTGAAGTGTCAACCTCGTTATGGGCATTATCCGAACGTTCATTGATCCCTCGGTGACGTCGTATCGGAGTTAGATTCCCTCGGCCTTCTGACGATTCTTTTGACGGAGAGGGGCCTCTTTGGATTCTTGACGAGAGTTGAAGGAACGACGTCGTGGATGGCATCTCCTCCATCATGTCTATAGGGCACTGTTTTACTATGGGGCCAATCCGGAGGGTTCGAGAGCCATCATCGACTTCAAGGGATTTTGATTGAACGCCATTCTCACTCGACGCTTCGAATCTCGTTCTTGTATTTTCCAGAGCAACGTTCACAAGCCCGCCATGCGTCGTCACACCAGCCTGGAACGCGAAAAACGATGCGCGATTCTCGACACATTTGCACCCACATGGATTGCCGCTCGGCAAATTGACGATGCCTCATGATAAGTGGAACCTCCACCATAGACTGCCAACGTAAGGTCTTCTTCACATCCCTGCAAGCGGCAGCAACAAATCATGCCATTCTTGCGACCTCTATTCACCGGTGGGCAATCCACTACAATATTTGTATCAGGTAGCCCTGAAGATGAGATGATGCGTGGAGCAATCGAATGTTTGAGCGAACCTTGAAAGATTGGGTTGTTTCTTGCTTGTGTGTTGCATTCAATATCAACGTGCGACCTGCAGAATCAAGGTGCAGTCAGTTCGGACAGTGGATTACTTACGAGCCTTGATCAGATAGGAGCGTGTTGGTGGAGCAAATAATCGCCTGGATGTCTTGGGTTCCCTTTCAATGGAAAATTTTTCACAGCTCCAAATAGTCGAGAATGCTCACGAGATCGAAGAATGATATCGTTTTCTGCCCCATTCCAACTCCTCCTGCATTCAATCCGCTGAAGGCAGCCTTTGCTGACTCCGGTGTTGTGGCTGCCATCAAAATACTGCAAAAGGAGCTCTATTGTTGCTATGCGTTTAATGTAAGCGTTACCTTGTCACATCACTTCCACCCATCATGTCTCTGAAGGTTCCAGAACAACGTCCAGTCAGACAGTTTGGGTCCAGCGCCAGCGGAATGGCCTTGCTCGAGGTCAAGTCAAATCCTGGGGGAACAATTCGTTTCACATTACAAGAACGATCGACGGACCCATTTTTGTAAGCGCTGTTGCGATCATTTTCACTTGTTGACGATTTCGGAGCATCAAGGGTTCAAGTCCCATTTCAGCGCAATGGAGTCGAATATCATCAATCGATGTAACCTGATTCAAGTAACGGTTGAAAGACACCACCATCAACAATTGTACCAGACTAAGAATCGATGTTCCTGGTTTTTTTGATGGATTCCCATTCCAAACGTAAAACATTGTTCCTTGAAGAAGGAAACGTTCCATGTCGCGCTGGGTGGCTTGACATTACCTGCTTCCATGTCGCACCAAGCTCTAAAGGGCTGCGGACTGCATCTAGGGTTCAACCAGTAAAACCCTGTTGCGGCGCTGGGATTACGACTTTTTATCGCATAGCAATCCTCTGCAGCAAGCGCTTTCGTATCACCTGGGAAACCAAGCATGAACGCAGTCAGGAGAATAAACTAACCCAACATTAATCCTGCCGCCAACTGTTTGCTAAGAAGTGCCATTTCCCCAGCATTCAGCTCGATCATTTTTTTCTTCACTCCCCCAATGGTTTCCTCAGACTCTCCCATTCTCTTTTCGTATACTTCCATCGATTGTGCGCTTGATACACAAAACAATTTCTCTCAACATCTTGTTGGGTGTTTCACTAACCACGCCTGAATTCTGGGAACCGTCTCCTCGACCTCCATTGTGGCGTATTGAATTCCTTGAATACGAC